ACCCCGGAGGACCCCAAAATTAGGAAAACAGAAGGTATGGGTGGAAGGGAGGAAAGGGGAGTGGGTGGGAGAGGAATTCTTAAGTTCTCTCTTCACTGACGATCCCCAGGGCTGGGCTCAGGAGAACACTGGAATCCAAAACTTACAGACCCACTTTAAATACCGCAAGGTGCCGTGGCTGCTCGGGCCGCGAAGACAATGCTGCTTACTGTTCCAAGATTTAACGCCAAGCCCTGACAAGCAGAGGTCTCTCGAGTTGTCACACGGCTCCAGGACGGGCCTCTGGGACACCCCATATTCCCCCAGCCAGTGGTCGGAAAGCCAAAACCCCGCCAGATCCCTTTCTTCCAGAACTTTCAAGGTGCTCTGTATTAGCTACTGTGTTTTGTTTAACTTTTGAAAAAAACTTCAAGGTCATTTCACAAAGCTTGGAAATTGAATCCAAGCCACTCCAGATTCTCTCCTTTTTCCCCCTCTAAATCTCCATGTCCTAAACCTCTTAGGAGAATGCAACCTATTATATCTTATCTGATGCTTCCTTGTCTTAAATCCATGACAATCATGTTTAATTTCCTTAGAGTTTGTGTCCTGTGGTCATGCATCAACTCTTAAACCAACAACAATTAAAAACAAGGTGTGTTCCGTAAATCCTAATTCCAATCTGCTCCTGTAGGGCATTACCCAGCCAATTGGAGGGTGTTCTTCAAAGCACACACTAATCAATGTGTCAGACACTCTGCTGGGTTCTTATATTATCTCGAATCCGCTGCCCTAGCCCATTTCACAGGTGAGGAAGGAACCTTTCCCAGGTCACTCGCGAGCACATGGCCCATCTGGATGCAGGTTTGGACCAGTGTGGTATAAAGGCCAGACACCCTGCTGGCAACTCACCCCATTTGTTGCCCAGCCTTCCCCAGGCTGGAGTTCCACCTTCATAAAGGTGGGTGTATGCATTTCATTTCATTTAAAGAGGTGACCGGCTTGGGTATGCAATGAACAAAAGGGAAGTGAATTTGGGGGACCTACCATAGGGACCTAAAGATCTTTGGGTGAGGGTCTTGGTGCCTAAACTATTCAACTTGAGTCACTTAAAACTTCATCTAATTCAGAAAATGAGCTCCCTGTCACCCCTACCTCCTGGCCCCATCTCCCCGACACTCAACAGCAAGAAGAATCTGCCAGCTTCGCTCTCACACACAGCCATTAAAACAACATCCTTCACACAGGCTTAAAACATTAGCTCCAAGTTCAAAAGTTGGTGAAAAGCAACTTGATTAAAGAACTGTCATTGAGATATGCTCTCCATGGGTGTGGTTTGTAAAGCATTGTTTTCCAGCTCCCCCACCCCAGGCACAGCCCACTGCTAAGACCAGAAAGAACGCACGCTCCGTGGAGCATATTCAGGATCAGAGAATCCAGTTTCCCCACACACACTGCACTTTTCCTTACTTGGCCCAGGTGACCTGGAGCACCTGGAAGCCGTTATCCGATTCCCTGCCAGCACCCTAAGAGGCAACGTGGGCAGTCTGCTCAGGTCTTGGGGTTCAGGGCCTGTTCTGCCATTTACTATGTGTCAGGGGCAAGGCGTTCATTCAGTCAGCTGTGAATGACTAGGATTCCCGCCTCCTGAGGGCCTGAGATGTGTGTGGAAGGTCTTTGCAGTGGAAAGTGCTAGACTAACATTAGGGGTTATAATTGTCGTTACTGTTCCTTGCCAGTCTGTCTGGCACTTTGCGGCAGATTAATTCCTGTGTCCCCAGGGGCAACTGCATTCACTGTGCGGTCATGTGCTGCTGGTGAACTTTTGTACACAGCTGTATTGCCACCAAAAAGAGCAGTCTGGGCTCTGTGAGGCAGCCTGATTTATGGAAATCGTGGGAGCCTTGCCCCTTGCAGATGGCAGCTCTCATTTTGGCCCTTTGTGTTAACTTTGTGCCTCGGTTTGCTCAACTGTGAAATGGGGAGACCTTCAGTTTCAGGGAAGCTGTACAGAGTGGAAACTACTCAGGCTGATGCCTTGCCCATTTGAATACGGATACACACCACTTTCAAACACCCTGACCCAAATTCCCATAATCACAAGGCCCAAAGATGGCTCTTGAAGGCCCCATGCCTTCTGCTCAGTGACACCATTCAGCCCCCCTGACTCCAGCAGCCAGGCTAAGAGCCCCACAGCTGACTGGGGAATGCAGAAGATGGGCGGACTATAATTAGACAGGCCATCCTGACATTTCCCTCTTCACTCCAGATGTTTACTATGTTTATTTCCTGTGAGCTGGGCCTCCAGACTCCTTCAGTGATACTGAAGCACTTCCAGGGGGCCTCTGGCGTGGACACACGGACAGGAAAAGAGCTTTCGCTTGCCACCTCCAGCCTCCCTGGGCCAAGCTGGGAGCAACTCTCCAGCTTTTGCCCCCTCCTTGCAGCCCCTCCCAGGTGCTCCTGGGGAAAGTGTTGGAGAACCTGCCCTCCCTCAGACCCCTTCTCTCTGCCACTTGCCAGGGACCCCACTCCAGACCAGACAAATGCATACTTTTACGATCCCCTCATACAGGGAGTCTGAGGGCAAGTTATGGACAAAGAGAAACAAAGGAGTGTAGAGAGTTCTGAAGATGTCACCTCTCTCAGGGTAGAATGATCCTGCCACTTCTGTCCTACATTAGAATGTTCTAGAATAATGGGGTGCTAAAGGAGGGGAAGTCAGGGCTCATCCTGGTCACTCCTGCAGGCTCACCCCTCTCCAGTGGGACAGGGAACAGCATCCAGGAGCGGCGATGAGGGAGCAGAAGTGCCAGCAGGCAAGGCTCCCTCACCCTGGAAGTCTGAGGCCTGAGGTGCGCAAATAACCACGGCAAGGTTCGGTTGAAGTCAAGGTATCGGCTTCTGAGTCTTCCTCACCAGCACTGGTGTTAGCGGAAACATTTCCAATTACGGTATAAGTCTTAGTTGGGGGAGGATGGTGTCCCCTCTCTATTTCTCATGAGCTGACTGTTGTTCAAGTTTTTATAACCTTTCTGAACCTTAATTTCCTCATCTGTAAAATGGTGAGAACATTCCCCATCTGAGTTCTTGAAAAGGAAAATGACATCGTGTACACAAATCCTGAGGTGCAGATCTGACACAATAGGAATGGTAACATTGTTTTAAAAATAGGCAGCCACGGGGAAGGATTCCTCTATGCCAGGCACCGTTCTGCAGTTGGTCCCTTTGGTGTCTACGACCCTGAGAGGCAGATACTATTACGGTGCCCATTTTACAAGCGTGGAAAGCAAGGGGCAGAGGGGTTAAGTAATTAGTCCAAGGTCACAAAGGATGGAGTCTGGATATGAACCAAGGCGATCTTGCCCCTTGAGGCAGACCTGGCCTGGGCGAAAGGCTGCCTTCCTCCTTTCGTCTAGGAACACTCCTTATTAAAAAGGCATGACTGGGAGGCACTCCGCATTTCATAAGTGTCACTTCATCTACTCCAGGAGCACCTTTTAAACCTCTAAGAAGCTGTGAAAAAATACTGCTTCTTGTAAAAAGCTGTTACCTTGCAGGGGCTGCCTTGCACAGCCAGTCCGCACAGCCTTCCCCTGGAGGGTCCTTACGCCAACTGCCCGCAGCCCAGGAGGAACACAAGCTCAGCTACTCGGGCAGCAGATACATCCGCCAAGCTACGAAGCTCACAGTCCTTACTTCCTCGCCTATAAAATGGATTTAATGCAAAATCTATAAAGTTTAACTCACTAAAAGCCATTTCTGCCGGCCCTTGACTTCCACTCCGCCCTCCCCGCCCCTCCCATGGTCCCCTGGAGCCATACTGAAGGTGTGCTTGCCTTCCTATTCCCAGCACTTATCAGGCATCGCTTATCAGGCATCGCTTATCAGGCATCGCTTATCAGGCATCGATTATCAGGCATCGCTTATCAGGCATCGCTTATCAAACATCGCTTATCAAACATCGCTTATCAGGCATCTGGAAGCTTCTTCAGGCCTTCGCAGGTGAGGCCGACCAGCGCAGCGCAGCGCCCAGCATAGGGGGGCACTCTACGATCCCGCTCCCGGCACCCCGAGGCTTCTGCGCTCCCACCTCGCACGGCCCCCCGCAGCCAGTGTGCTCTTAGGCCTGGTTGGCCGCTAGGTTCACCAGAACCAAAAGCTTAGGTTGAGAAGCGCTAGAGGGCCCGGGAGGGTTGGGGTCTCTACTGCGCCCTTGGGCACGCAGCTCTAGCCACTGGGCAGGAGGAGCCAGGCCAGCAGGGCTGTGGCGCAGAAACCCTGGTCTNGTAGAGTCCAGGAAAGACCCAGGAAAGCACAGGGAGAGAGGGGCATGCAAGCCGACTGCCTCATTTCACCCAAGGACCCTCCACCGCAGGTCTGGGGATTTCGCAGGAGCAGGGCCCGCTGAGCAGCCTAAGTGGCTCCCGAGAGGTTCCCAGATTTTCCCAGCTCCGGGGGTGGATTCTGCTTTCCAGCTACAGCTTCCTGTCTGCGGCACGGAGGGAAGGAGTCCTCCTTCACCCCACCGGCCTGGGGACGCGGGAACCTGGGGCTGCCCCTCTCAAGCGCAACGCTGCACCCCGCCCCCAGCAGACCCCAGCGCTCTCCACGCCTTCCTGGAGACCTAGAGACCAAGTATACTTTTAAACCAGAACGCCCGCCCCGGCGTGGCCGATTCACACCCAGAGTTTCTTTTTCTGGACAGATCCGAGCTGCCCGATTGTCCTTCCGAAACTAGACTGAATAAATTCCCTTTCTGGGCCTCAGACGGTGGTGGTGGTCCAGGAAAGGGACGAACTACGGAACGCGGCCTGTCTACGTCGCCATCACTTTATTGTTTTGACACCGTTAACTTAACTATAAATACTACGGCGAGCGAGGGCGCCTGCGGACTC